ATTCGGGTTCTGAGAAAAAATAAATGCAGCATTTTCAGGAGCGTGCTGCGTTCCAGAAGGATTATTGTAATTTGAGGTGGCAGCTGTCACTTCCCTGAGGGCATGATAAGTGTGACTTTAACTGCTGGACAACTTCTCTTCAGGGAATGTCATGATTGATTAAGCACACATTCTGTTAGTATTAAGAGTATACTTAATTACCTTGCTTCCAGAGGAGGTATGAGCACTTGAAAACGGGGTGTGTGTGTGTGTGTGTGTGTGTGTGTGTGTGTGTGTGTGTGTGTGTGTGTCTGTGCATGGAAGTGAGTGAGTGTGGGAATTCATGTCGAATATCAGTCTGCTCCCAGAATTCATGCTGGAAGGAGTTTCAGCTCTTCCTGATTCTGAATCAGAAAGCTGGCACCCCCCACCTCTTTTTTTTTTTTTTTTTAATCTATTGGCTTGTTTGTCTAATTGACCCTTGAGGGAAGGCACTTTAGGCAGGGGAGAGCAGTCCAAAGCTGGGCAAGAGGAACAGAAAAGCTTCCGGTTAAACTGAAATGCTGCTCCGCCCACAGCTTCCTCTGACTATTGAAATCTTCTTAGTAATTTGCCTCATGACACTATACGGAGAATAAGTTCTCCAAAGAAGGAAGAAAGTCTGTGGGAGTTCCTGGAGGATTGGCAGCCATGTAGAAACACTGAAGACAGTTGACACCTGCACCTGAAACTGGGGAAAGGTTTAGACTGGTTATGGGAACTGGACTGGTGTGTGACTTCTAGAAATACATACAAATGAACTATTTTAAGCCATGAAGCCTAGTGCCTAATGACAGCCCTGGCAGCTAATCACTTGGTGTTTGTCTCTGAGAGAATGATGACTTAGAGCTCCGCCAGGTGGCCGTCAGCAATGAGAACGGGCTGATGTCTGTCAGGGAGCGAAGCTGCTCTTGTTGCTTCGTGTGCATCAGAACTGACTACATCAAAATGCAGCGAGCGCCAAAGAAGGGAGACCAGTGCAAAGTTTCTCAAGGAAGCCTGTTGGGCACAACGCCCTTGAAAACCACTCCAGCTCGCCTTTGGCATATAAATACCTAGAGACGTAGATCGTGTTGTGGTGGGCTTACTGTGCTGCAGATTCCTTTCTAGTAGTGCCCCTTGTTTTTGGCTGTTATTTTTAGGGTTTCTAAAAGGGCATAGTGTACTTTAGGGCCTTGGGGATTGCAAGGTAGGATGCTAAGTATTACTGTGTAGAACATGCATGACCTTAATTCAGTTTTACTTCTGCTCCTCTTAAGCCTACCTGCTGTTTTTGTTCTGGCTTGCAGTTATCCCACCTGTAGACTGAATGGATTATACCTATGAAGGTACTTCAAAAAAAGTTTGTGGAGGGGCTGGCCTTGTGGCCTATAGCTGGTAAGGCCACACTCTGTGACGCCAGCATCCCATGTCGGTTTCAGTTTAAGTTCCGGCTGCTCCACTTCTAGTCCAACCCTTTGTTAATAATGCCTGGGAAAGCATCCGAGGCTGGCTCAGATGCTTGGGACCCTGCAGCAAGCAGGAGACCTGAAAGAAGCACCTGACTCCTGGCTATGGAGGGGATCCAGTCCTGGCAGTTGTGGCAGTTTGGGGAGTAAGTCAGCATTTGGAAGGCCTGTCTCTCTTTCTCTCGCTCCCCCTTTCTCTGTAACTCTACCATTTAAGTAAATAAGTAAGTAAGTAAAAAATAAATCATCCTTTTTTTAAATGGGATTTTTTTTTAAGTTTGTGGAACAATCAATTTTCCATAAAATACTTTGATAGAAAAATTTTCTGGGATCCATGCAGTTTCTAGATAATGAATATATGTTCTCATCAATTTTTGGATGCATGGATTTTTTAAAAAAAAATGTGCTCAGATACACCTTACCTTACTTTTTAGTTTCCACAACATTTTGAAGTGCCCTGTCCATAGAAACTCTGATCCATATGTACAACCAGTTGAGTGATTTTATATTAGGTTGGGAAAGAATCAACTTGGTAAGCATTTGAAGTTAAATAAGAAAGATGAGGGAGGAGAGCTATATTTGGTTTAGAGACTGACAGTGTTTAAGTTAAACTCTGCGTATGACAATTCATGGTAAGAACTTTCAGTGAGGCAGTCTGCTTTGTTTCTGCCCTCTCTCTGTCAGGGCAGAGCTGTGATAGCAAGTCCACATGTGGCCTCACTCAGAGTGTCCGATTAGACGTAAAGTGTTCACAGACGGGATTTGATGAGTAAATTAGCACGCAGAATTAGGATAGCAACTACTCACTCAGCTACTGAAACAGAAAAGTGAAATTCATTTTCCCAGCTTCTCTTCCCATCTGGGTTTAATGAAAATAACAAAAACAAAGAGGCTTCTTGTTTACATGTAAGTAAGTATCTTAATCATATAAAAATCAAAGACAGTAGAAAATTGAAATTTGAAGAGCTCCGAATAACAAACATTGGTTTGTTGTCTTGTATTCTAAACATTAATAAGCCAACCTTAAAATAAACCCAAATATAAAAACAAAAAATTGTTAAAATAAAGCCAGATATTCTAAATTGCAGTTAATAAGTACATGCCATTTTAATTGACTTTATTTTTTCACAATGGTTGAAAACTTTAACTTGAAAAAGCATAACCCAAAGTTGATTCAAATTTTCACTTTATAGCCAGCAACTTAGGAAATGTAGAGAAATGATTGGCCGTGGTAGGAATTCGCCTCTTAGCCTTTGTACTCTGCGCCTTCACAACAGTAACATTCATCAGTTTGTTCTTCGTGATCCTTGCTCCTTGCCTCTAAAACAAGTCAATTTATGATTTTTAAACAGGATTTATGGATGAAGACTGATTGATGTGGTAACTCCTCCCATCCTTTAAAAAAATGAGTTTAGCTTTTTCTTCCGCTCTTGGTTTAGTTTTGCCTTCTTCCTTCTGTGCTTCTCTTGGCGTGTTCCAGTGTCTGTGTGCTGGGGGCACTGCCAGCTCTAGGAGACACAGCAGCGTATTGCTGTGCCACCTGCCTGATGTGTAAGTGTTAGCATTGAAGGCGGTACGGAATTTGCTCTAGCTTTCTTCCCATGAGACTTGTACATGTAAGCAGAATCTTTGTTTTTCATAATTCTTCTGTTTTTCCTGCTTATTTCCCACTTGTATTTGTCACAATGCTCCATCAGGGACTTCATACCTGGTTGCCTTGGAGTTGATTGACACTCAAAGATTATGACTGCAGGTAGAACTTAAGCCGAAAGACCAATATTTTTCAAATATTAGTATAGACTTTCTGTTAATTTAAGAGTAAGAATTCTGGTTTGGGGGAACATTAAAAGTCTTACCATGTACTTTATATTACAGGCAAAATCTTATATATCTTCAATAATTTTTTTGTGGTCAAAAAGGGACTTTTCACTTTGTCGAAGACTAATTAACTACAATATCCACATGATGAAAGAATGCTTTTGTGCATGTGTGTGTGCGCATGTTACTTTGTGTATTTCTAGAAATTGGTGCTGCTGGCAGTCCCTGGGCTACAGCAGCTTGACCAGGTCTGTGTTGGCCACACGTGAAGGCAGCTTGCCATGTGTGCATCTTAACTCTGTAATTGTCTGTTTTCAGGGTCCTGCTAGTTGTGAGCTTGAGGCATGGTTTTACAATGTTCATCTTAGCATGTGCTGAATCAGGAGCTTAGGACTTTTAAAAAAATCTGTATTTCTCTAATAACGTAATTAGTGGCATATCATTTTACTTCTCTAAGGTCATTTTCCACATCTGTATAAAATGGAAGTTGTGGTTATGGGTGTGGAGGTTTGGGTTAGAAAAATTTCCAGTCTTTTCCAGTTCTAAAAGACAGTGTGACATAATGGGAGCCACGTGCTCCAGTGTCTGCATGACCACATCTATTTGTTTGTTCATCGTTGACTTGTCTTTTAGTTGTGAGGATTTCCTGTTTTATCTACCCTGGACATGAATTTCTGAAAGATTTGGTTATCATCTAAAATGTTTAATTTGCTTGACATGCTGTACATTTAAAACTTGCCAGAGGCGTCTTTGCCAAACAAGTATTTGGGTTGACTTTCAAAGACTGTAGACAAAGGTGAATGTAAAGAATTGGATTCATGGGCCCAGTGTGGTAGCCTAGTGGCTGAAGTCCTCGCCTTGCACGCACCAGGATCCTGTGTGGGCACTGGTTTATGTCCTGGCAGCCCCACTTCCCATCCAGCTTCCTGCTTGTGGCCTGGGAAAGCACTGGAGGACGGCCCAAAGCCTTGGGACCTTGTAGTTGTTTGGGAGACCCAGGGGAGGCTCCTGGCTTTGGATCAGCTCAGCTCCAGCTGTTGCAGCCACTTGGGGAGTGAATTGGTAGATGGAAGTTCTTCCTCTCTGTCTCTCCTCCTGTCTGTATATCTGACTTTCCCATAAAAATAAATAAATCTTAAAAATAAATAAGTAAGTAAATCTATAAAAGTAATTGGATTCATTTATCAGTTTTCTATTTTTTTTAGTTTTATTAATTGAACTACTATCTAAGCATTTAGCCTGAGAAATATCCAAATCTCTTTTTTTCATAGTTAAGCATTAGTTGTATCTTCTTTTAAGCTTGCAATGAATACAAAACATAAATTTCATGAAGAGTCTTATAATATAACCCTGTCAAGTATTTAAACATTCATAAACCGTGTCTCTCTCTTTCCCTGTACTCACCCCCCAGTCCCCAACAGGTGTTTGGGTATTTTTTCTCTAGTAGTATCTCATCTAGTCTCAATGATTTTTGTGTTCTTGAAAAAAAGCAATGTCTGAAATTCATATCTTCATTGCTTTTATAATCAAATGAGCATAGAGGAGAATACCTTAAAAATACATGATCTGTTGAAATCCTTGTGGAAATGACCATGTTGCCAGAGCAGGTGCAGCCAGAGTCCTAACGTAAGTGAATACAGCATAAATAGCAGATCACCCTTGGTATCCTACTGAGAAGCTGGACTCTTCAGTACTAACACAGTGTCATCTGTTTAGATATCCTTGGAACAGAAGATGCTATTGTGGACGCAACTTCCAACGACGCTGTGAGATTTTATCCCTGGACCATTGATAATAAATACTATTCAGCAGACATCAATCTGTGCGTGGTACCAGACAAGTTTCTTGTCACTGCAGAGATTGCAGAGTGTGTCCAGGCATTTGTGGTTTACTTTGACAGCACACAGGTAAGGCTGTTTCCTCTGGAGCCTTGAATAAGAAACCCTGGCGTGTTTTCTTCTCCCTCCTGCAGGTTTTGGGTGTTTTGATGATGTCTCTCTCTCTCTCTCTCTCTCTCTCTCTCTGTTTTTATTTGTCTGTATTTTTCCTCCCTGTAGAAATCAGGTCTTGATAGCGTCTCCTCCTGGCTCCCACTGGCAGAAGCATGGCTGCCCGAGGTGATGATCTTGGTCTGTGAGAGAGTGTCAGAACACGGTAAGGTGCTCCCAGGGCCGGGTGAGGGCTTGTGAGCCAGGAGCATGTGTTCCCTCTGCTTCAAGCACTACGTCTTAGTGATTTTATGACTTTTCAAACATATTTCCAGCCATTTTCTCTTGGGAATATTGTGATACTGACTTTTTCTTTGGAAAACATGGATACTTTGGGGCTGGCACTATAGCACAGATGGCTAAGCTGCTATCTGCAGTGCCAGCATCCCATGACAGAGAGCTGGTTCAAATCCCAGCTGCTCTGCTTATTGTCCAGCTCCCTGCTGATGTGTCTGCAGAAGTTATGGAAATTAGTCCAAATTGTTGGTCCTTACCAGATCTGTTTAGAGTATCGGGCTCCTGAATTCATCCTGGCACAATCCCAGCTTGTTGCTGCTGTTTGGCGAGTAAACCAAAGAGGTCTCTGTTTCTCTCTTTCTCTCTTGTCCTCACTCTGTCTCTGCTCACCATCATTTTAACTTTCAAATAAATAAAATAAATATTTTTTTAGTAAAGAAAAGAATGGGTACTTTGGAATTGAGAAGTCGTTTCTTTTATATTGCTTTACATTTCTTTAGATTGTGTTGAGATTTGTGGAGAGTATTGCAGGGTATTTGTCTTTCATTCTATTTTTACATAGAAAGTTTCTTTTGCCTATTATTTTAGGTGTAAACCGACAAAAAGCTCAAGAATGGTGCATCAAACATGGCTTTGAATTGGTGGAACTTAGTCCAGAGGAACTTCCTGAGGAAGATGGTAAGTGTCTCTGTGTGGAAGACATGCATTTAGGTTGAATGGTGAGAGTGTATTTTAATTCAGTGATCAAGAATCCCAGTGAAATGCAAGAAATAGATTTTTTGGGCCCTGTGCGGTAGTGTAGTGATTAAAGTCCTCGCCTTGCATGTGCTGGGTTCCTATATGGAACCAGTTCATGTCCCAGTTACTTTACTTCCCTTCCAACTATGTGCCTGTGACCTGGGAGGGCAGTAGAGGACGGCCCAAGGCCTTGGGACCCTGCACCCACATGGAAGACCCTGAGGAAGCTCCTGGCTCCTGGCTTTGGATTGGCTCAGCTCTGACCAATGCAGCCACTTGTGGAGTGAACCAGTGGATAAAGGATCTTCCTCTCTGTCTCTCCTTTTCTCTGTAGATCTGATTTTCCAATAAAAATAAATGAATCTTTAAAAATATTTTTTTCTTCAGACATTTGATAAGGTCTGAGTAGAATCCACTGAGGTAGTCTTACCATTAATGTAATAATCCATTTATATGGGTTTGCCATCCATTCTAGGACTCTGAAAAATAGTTTTTGTAAAGGAGTTCTACTTAAAATCTTTGTTATTTCCCCAGCCCCTTAGCCTTTCCCTACTGCCAGAGAAGGAGGGTTAAACCTATGAAATTTGTGTTTCCTATTTTGAATCCCGTAGTAAGCTAAGTGAATTCCAGGAGCTCTAGGGGTGTACCTTTTAGATACTGGGAAGCAAAAATAGACCTGAATGTTCCCGTGGTAGGTAACTGTATTAACTGCTTCTTTTTCTATGCCTTCTCTCCTGTCTCCTCCCTTTTTATAAGAATGCTTCTTGTGGAATCTATCAGGTTAAGACAGACTTGGCTCCCTAAAATCTGGGACAAGACATAAGACAGTTGTTCCAAAAGACATTCTAGACAGAGGCGATTGAATAAGAGTTAAAGTACTTGAGCAGTCACTACATGAAACCTGTATTTAAAAAAAAAAAAAAAAAGAAATTGAGAAATTCTCTTAATATTCTGGCTTAGTTAGAATTTTTCCGAAATTCTCTTCTGTTTGGGAATAGAATCCTGCCAGAGAAGGAAACAAAAATGAAATTAAAAGGCTCATTTTTAAGAAGATGGAAAAGTTAGCAAGTACAATTTCCTTCCATGTTTTTCTAGGTCAGTTAGAACATGTTCCCGTGTTTTGTGTACGTGAGCAGGGCATGTGTGTAATGCCTTATTTTTAGCAGTCGCGTATTCTCCACTGCCCACTGCCAGTAGTTGACTGTTGTCACTTTGGAATCCGTGCTCCTTTGTATCAGTGTATTTCTTGCCTTTTGACAGTGTTTTTGTTGTATTTTGTTGTAATCTTAAATTAGACTTTTATGTATGTCATCTTTAAGTAAGGGAATGGAAAGCTTCCTTACCTGCTCCAAGCCATGTCCCACCACCCTTCATTTTCATAAATTCAAACATCCAGCAGTGTGGGGACTTCATGCTTGTTGGTATTAAATTTTACCTTACTGGCTATAACTTTTTGTTTTTAAGAGACTTTTGATTCTTTTTTTTTTTTTTTTAAGATTTATTTGTTTTTGTTTCAAAGTCAGATAATACAGAGAGGAGAAGAGACAGAGAGGAAGATCTTTCGTCCAATGATTCACTCCCCAAGTGAGCTCATTGGCTAGTGCTGTGTCAATCTGAAGCCAGGAGCCAGGAATTTTCTCCAGGTCTCCCACACGGGTGCAGGATCCCAAAGCATTGGGCTGTCCTCGACTGCTTTTCCAGGCCACAAGCAGGGAGCTGGATGGGAAGTGGAGCTGCCGGGATTAGAACCAGCGGGGATCCTGGCACGTTTAAGGCGAGGACTTTAGCCACTAGACCACGCCACCAGGCCCGGCTATAACTTTTTTTAGGGTTTATTTTTTATTTTTATGGAAAGGCAGATTTACAGAGAAAAGGAGAGACAGAGAGAAAGGGCTTCGATGCGATGGTTTATTTCCCAAGGGCCGCAATGGCCAGAGTTGAGCCAATCTGAAGCCAGGAACCAAGAGCTTTTTCTGGGTCTCCCACATGGGTGCAGGATCCCAAGGCTTTATGCCACCTTCTCCTGCTTTCCCAGGCCACAATCTGGTTGGGAAGTAGAGCAGCTAGATCACAAATTGGCGCTCATATGGGACGCTGGCACTTTCAAGATGAGGATTTAGATTTTGAGGCCAGCTTTTGGGTCTGATTATAACCATCTAAAGTTATTAGTTATGCTAGCCGCAGTTAAGTCATCTGTAGTAACATGCCTCTTTGTCCTCATCCAGACTTTGGGGGTGATAAGCTCATCTTGGTAGATGACTATTAGTTCAATCCTCACTGTGTCTCTTTTGGGTTGGTAGGCTGGTGTTGTTCCAGTGAATCATTAGGCTGTCAGATAGCTGTTGAGTACTTGCTGTCTGTCAGATGCCAGGTAGGGCATAATGAACTCAGTTAAGATGTGATTTCTGTCCTTACGCGGTTTCCAGTCCAGAGATGTGGAAAGGTTACATCAGCAAGTCATCAGTTCCTGTCGTCTTTCCTCTAGCAGAGGTGTGTGTTCATGATTGGCTCCTGATCAAATGTTGGCTGTCCTACAACAATGAACTTGGTGCACGGAGCGGATAGTCATACACATGGACTACTGACTGATGGTCAATAGCTGCAGTTTGTTAGCAGTGTCAGGCTTTTATTATAGACTGAGGGTCACATGGGACGAGGGAAGAGGGTTTGAGGAATTTACATATAACAGGAGGAGTTGATTTGAGATTATGGGCGTTCCCATACAACTGCCTACAGATCTCATCACTTGCTCCCACACCCCTGCTTGGAAGTGTCTTTGTTTCGTAAACTATGCCTATAGATCCGATCAGTCCTCCTACAATCAAACTGCTGTGTGTGACTGAGCCAGGTTCAGATCAGATCTTCCACCTTCTAGTACTGTGTTTCCTGTTAGACCATTGAGGCCCAGCCACTGGAAATAGATTCTGTGTAGATTATACTCTGTAAACTTTACAATCACATGGAAATGTGTTTGATTTTATAGTAAAGGTGACTGTTTTCCAATTCTACTAGATTGCAATTTTGTTTTATAGAATGTTCTTATAAGGAGCTTTGCAATCTGTGTTTGATTTTTTTCCACTTTTCAGTAAGTTATAGTATGAAATGACAACTAAAGAAGTATCAGTTATTTAAAAATATGACTTGGAAGACACATATACACAAGATGAGTTTTAAAAGTTTGTGAGACTCGAATTCCATTTTACCCCCAAAATACTTTATCTCATGCAATAATTTTTTGAAATATGTATTATTTTCCTGTAAAATTCATATTCTGTGAACTTTTTGAAGCCTGCTTGTATTTTTGAATGTGCATATATGTATGAATATGTAAGTATATCAATTTCTTCTCCCCATTTAGATGATTTCCCAGAATCTACAGGAGTAAAGCGAATCATACAGGCCTTGAATGCCAATGTCTGGTCCAACGTCGTGATGAAGAGTGGTGAGTAACTTAATTTCTCCTCCCCACCCCGCTTATTATTAAGTTTTAAATTATTTGGATATAGCTGGAACCATTATATATGTAATTAAGCTCTAAAGTTTTCAGTTAAAGGAAGAGCCAAAAGTTACATCCCTCGGGAATTTAAACATGTATTTAGAAGTTAGTTCAGGAAGAGTGTAGATTCTTAGAAGGTATCTGGAGCTGCTGTTGGCTTTGAGAGCTCACCCTGACCTTGTAAGACCTGATTTGTGTCCTTCAGGTGCCCTGGTCCTGCCGTGGTATCCGAGTGTACAGTTCATCTACCAGTGCGGATGGTTGAGGAAGGCCCTGAATGCACAGAGAGTTACTGTTGCATTAGCACTGACAGTGCAGAGAGAGCTTCAAGGAGAAAGAGCGTCCTAACAGTTGTCTTTCCAGGGTGGTCAAGATTTGGGCTGACAGAGGGAAGAATGGCAAGCAGGAGAGGACAGCTTGGCCTCTGGAGGGATAGTTGCATGAGAGTGTCCTACAGGCACTAGGAGGATCTTGTCTATCACAACTGCTTAGACCTGAGTAGCACATGGGGACATAGCATGTTAGGCTGCCCCACCTGCAACGCTGGCATCTCGTGTGAGTACCAGTTTATGTCCCCCCTGTTTCATTTCTGCTCCAGCTTCCTGTAACTGCACCTGGAAAAGCAGTGGAAGTGGGCTTTCACAGTTTAAGTGGAAGACTCAGATGGAGTTCCAGGGCTTGTTTCCTAGCTAGAGCCATTGCACAAGTGCCGACAGTAGCTGCAGTATCTGGGACCAGGCTGTACTAAAGCCAGGAGCAAGGTCTCCATGTGAGTGGCTGGAAACCTGATTGCTTGGCTAGTAGAGTCCATTAGCAGGAAGCTGGAGTCAAAACCAGACCCAGGTTCAAATCCAGACAATCCAGTGTCGGATGTGGGCATCCTAACATATCTTAATCTCTAGGCCAGACATCCACTCCAAGATTTATTTTTTATTTTTATTGCTAAAGTCATGCATATAGAGAGAAGGAGAAACAAGGAGGAAGGTCTTCCATTTACTGATTCAATCCCCAAGTGGCCACAATTGCCAGAGCTGAGCCAATCCAAAGCCAAGAACCAGGAGCCTCTTCTGGCTCTCCCACATGGGTGCAGGGTCCCAAGACTTTGGGTCGTTTTCAGCTGCTTTCCCAGGCCACAAGCAGGAAGCTGGATGGAAAGTGGGGCCACTGTGATTAGAACCAGCAGCCATACAGGATCCCAGTGCATGCTAGGCAAGGACTTTTAGCCTCTAGGCTACCGTGCTGCGCCCAGAGACTTTTTAAAATAAGGATGAAACAAAAACAGTTGGTGGATTTGAAAGATTAATATTATGGTCATAGTCATGGAGAGAGTAAGTTGTCAGTTGAAGGAGCTAGAGGAAAATGCTGAAATTGGGCTGGTGGGGGCGGGGCAGTGCTGTTGCAGTAGCTTGAGAGAGTGAGGTGTGAAGCCTGGGCTGATGGCGGAAGGCTGGATTGAAATGTAGTCTGAGTGGAGTCAGCCAGTTGGCAACCACTGGGCTCTTAGAGCTTGCATTGGTTTGCTGGGCCTGTAACAAGGCATGACAAAATTGGGATGGTGTGAAACGACTGGAAGGAGCAGTTCTGAAAGTTTGAAAGGAAGGTGTTTGAAAGTGCTAGGGATGGATCAGTTCAGCTCTCTTGGCTGAACTAAGGCCTCTGCTGGGTCCTTAGCTTGTGGCAGGATAGCTCTGTTCTGCCCATGATTTTCTGCTGGTATGCCTATGTCCAGATTCCACCCCCCCCCGACCCCCTTTTTTTTTAAGATTTATTTTATTTTTATCGGAAAGTCAGATATACAAAGAGAAGGAGAAACAGGAAGGAAGAGCTTCCATCCGCTGATTCACTCCCCAAGCAGCAGCAATGACCAGAGCTGTGCCAATCCAAATCCAGGAGCCTGGAACCTCTTTCAGGTCTCCCATGTGGGTATAAGATCTCAAAGCTTTGGGCCATCCTCAATTGCTTCCCTAGGGCACAAGCAGGGAGCTGGATGGGAAGCGGGGCTGCCAGGGGATGCCGTTATGGGATCCTGGTATGCAAAGTGAGGACTTTAGGCACTAGGCTACTGTGCCGGGCCAAACATGGTCCATCCCAATTATATCTACCAGAAACCTGTCTTCAAATAAGCTCACAATTTGAGGTACCAGAGGTTAGGACTGCAACATATAAATATGGAAAAAATACAATTAAGTGGTTTTTGTTTGTTCTGTTTTTTTTTTTTTTTTTGCTTTTTAATGATGATTTATTTGAGTGGCAGGGTTACAGAGAGATGCAAGAGAGAAAATCATCCACCTACTGGTTCACTCTCCTGGCTGCCAGGTTGTAGCTTATTTGACTCTCCCACAGGAGTGCAGAGTGCAGGTAATTGGACCGTGTTCTGCTGCTTTCCCAGGCACATTAGCAGGGAGCTAGATTGGAAGTGGGCCAATGGGTGCAGGGGACAGACCAAACCTGGCCTTACACTAGCTGGCACATGTGAGTTGAGTCACGCCACCCTGGGCCAAGTTTCTGACTGCGCCAGTAGACTCAAACTTTGGGCACAGGGAGAAATCACAGGATGTGTAGTCCGACCTTGGAGTGTACTGGGACAGGGCCTCCTCAGTTGCTGATGCCTGTGCAGTGGACAGCATGTCGCACATGAGGGACAAGACAACCAGCTCAGAGGACTTCGACTGCCTCATCAGAGGATGGAAAGCAGAACTGGTTGGACAGTTCTCCTGGGTAAGCTTTGCAACATCTTCCTGGGTCTGTGAATGCACTAAAGTGGACTTTGTCATTAGTGGGCCTTAGAAAGATTTTTTTCAACCCTGTAGCAATGAAACCTGCAATGTCTCAGGGCTATAGAAACCATTCAAGTAATACCCTCAGAGCTCTCTTCCCCACATTGGTGTCTCTAAAGCATCACCAAAGGACCAGCCCTCTGATGTAGTTTGATAGCAAGGAACAAACCCCATTCCCATCCTCCCCTGCGGACACAGGAGAAAAAGAGAAGCTCTTTCATCTACCTTCCTTCATACCTGACCTTCCCCACTCTAATCAGAGACCCCATGGTGTGCATCCTTCTCAGGTGTATAAACAATATTTTTTAGGAAGGCAAAAGAGAGAGAGAGAGAGAGAGAGAGTGAGAGAGAGAGAAATCAGCCAGCCAGGATTGGAACTGGCACTCATTTGGAGATGATGGCATCATAGGGGGGCAGTTTAACCCACAATACCACAATGGTGGTCCTGATGAGGTATAATTCAGCCCATAGTGTCTTCAGGAATTGCTATCTGTTCAGGGTTTTACTGTCCAATGCTTCTTGGCTGTCTCAAGCTCTGTCAGGTGAAGCACTCCAGCAGGGATTGAGAAGAGCTGTATCTTGCAGTGAGCTTACCACGTCTTCCCTGAGAGGAAGGGTCAAGTGGAAGATCAGTCTTGCCAGGAGTAGAGTATTTCATCTCCGTTGTGGTAAGCACTGAGTGTTGTGTGAAGTTGGCACTGTTTCAGCGTGCCCGAGGTCGACCCTGACCCTGCGCACGGTCGGCAAAGCTGCTTTGTCATGCTGAGATACTCCTTCCTCTCTCAACCCCCTCTTCTTGCTTTTACTTTTTTCTAGAGAAAATCTCAGAAGAAATCTTTCCCATTCATTCATTCACAAATATCTTGTTGAGCATTAGCCACAGTAAAGCATTACTCTGTTGTCTACTCTGGAAAAACGCGTTTAAGATGCAGTACTTTGGGGCACTGTCCACAGCTCCAGCATGCCAGCTGCACCATGAGAGCACTGGTTCAAGTCCTAGCTGTTTTGCTTGCCATTCATCCAGTTGATAATGTGCTGGGAAAGTGGCACAATGTGGACCGAGTACTTGGGCCCCAGCCATCCATGTTCCAGGCTTCTGGCTGGCCAGCCTTGGCCTTGTGGCCTTTTGGGGAGTGAGTCAGTGCATAGAAGGCTTTCTCTCTCCCTCTGTCTCTCTCTAGTTCAGCCTTTTACTTAAATAAACCTTTTTTTTGGGGAAAAGTGGTATCTAAACTGAATAAATTTAGAATAACATATTCAGTGATGGTTGTTACATTTATGAGAACTATTTTATTTTTAAAGATTTATTTATTTATTTAATTTGGAAAGTCAGGTGTACAGAGAAGAGGAGAGACAGAGAGGAAGATCTTCCATCCTCTGCCATGTTTAAGAAGGCTTGCCACTGTGGTCTGAAGGAAGCTGTCTTCCCTGGAGGTGCAGCCCTGCCTGTGCACACGCTGGTGCACGTGGATTCCATGTGGGTGCAGCGCATGGCGGCTTCCTTCAGAGACAAGCTCTGTGTGCTGGGCTGCTTGTGCTTCCGGGGAGAGCGCCTGTCTCCTGGGGGCCTGGATCTGGGTTTTCCTCAACAGGCTTTTCCTCAAAGAAGTCCTGTCTTCTCCTTTTTCCTCTTTCTCTCTTTTTTAAAAATTGTGTTCCAATATACAAATAAAGTTTCCATTTTAACCACTTACTGTGTAACTCAGTGGCATTAGGTTCATTTATATTCTACAACTAATACAATTCAAAAAAGGCTTTTAAAAACAATATTTTAGGTCAAAAAGTTGGTTGACAGCAAAAAAAAAAAAAAAATTAAGATTCTTCTTGTTATTTGAAAAGCAGAAAGACAAGACAAATCTGGTTTGCTCGGGTTCGTTCCCAAATGCCTGCAGCACCTAGGACTGTGTCAGACTGGGTTGTTTGCCTGAGTTGTAAGGACCCAATCTCTTGAGCTGCTGCTTTGCAGGAAACTGCTGCTTTCCAAGGTACACACCAGTGGGAAGTTGGAATTGGGTGCAGAACTGGTATCTGAACCCAGGCGGAGGCAACATGGAATGTGGTCCCCCTAGTGATACCTCCATCATTGTGCCCGACACTCCTGGATAAATTTCTTAGGACACTAATGACTGGGTTTGTTATTGTAATAATCTCGACTGTTTGGATAATTGC